AGGAAGAGAAACAGGTTTTGAGGAAGGGACATGCTTGGCATATTCAGGGGACAACAAGGAGGCCAGAGCAGCTGGAGCAAAGAGGGCAGAGAGGTAAACGAGGGCAGAGGTAGAAGGGGTGAGTATATAGAAAGTCTTCTAGGCCCTGATGAGGACATTGCTTTCTACTCGAAGCCAAATGTGGGGATGACAGGCAGCGGGGAGACCAGGAAGGAGGCCGTTGGACAGTCGTTCATTCTGTAGACACAGTAGGAAGAGAAACAGGTTTTGAGGAAGGGACAGGTTTGGCATATTCAGGGAACAACAAGGAGGCCAGAGCAGCTGGAACAAGGAGGGCAGAGAGGTAAACAAGGGCAGAGGTAGAAGGGGTGAGTATATATAAGGTCTTCTAGGCCCTGATGAGGACATTGCTTTCGACTCGAAGCCAAATGTGGGGATGCCAGGCAGCGGGGAGACCAGGAAGGAGGCCTTTGGACAGTCGTTCATTCTGTAGACACCTGTCGAATAACTACTACGTGCAGAATATATGTTCCTCTTAAAAGATGCATCTTTTTCACCCTTCTCAAATGTTTCCTAACCGTTTGTGTAGTATCCTTCAAATCTTTTCCCATGCACGCAAAAATGGCAGCTGCACTTATGTCAAGATTACTGTGTATATTAACTCATCTACTCAGGATAGTCCTCAGAGGTAGATGGTGTTGCCACCATGTTTCACAGAAGGGAGAGCTGACTCGGGTCAGCCTGTGTGTACATACACAGACGACAGAAGTGGCTTGAATTGCACATATTCTGTGATCCAGCAGGCTGTTGTGGGCATCTTTATGACTATAATACACGGATATCCAACAAATGTTTTCAACCGTTTCCCTCATCTTTCGCTTTTTGGTTGGTTCTTTCAGTTTTGTTTTGTTTTGTTTCATTTTAACTTTAGCATTCATACATGATTCCATTTCTTTTGTAAAAAGGGAACATACAGTAAACATTATCTTTCACCTTATTTATTTTCACTGACTATATGCTGGAGCTCAGTGTTTATCAGTATATATAGATTTGCCTCATTTCTCTTTTCCCCTTCCTCATTCCTTTTCCGTGTTGCATAGTATTTGATCATGTGACTGTATCATAGTTTTTCATCCAGTCTTCCTATTTGAGAACACTTGGGTTGCTAATAGTATTTTGCTATTATGAATAGTCCTGTGATTGATAGTCTTCTTATTTCAAAATCGTGCCAGTGTGATTTGGGGACAGAGGCCCAAAAGGCTCCCCTCCCCACCCCTTTTTTGAAACAACTCCGTAGCAGTCCAGAAAAGGGCCGAGACATAATTTAACTAGGCCTTTTCAGATGTATCGAGTCCTTACTGTGTGCAGGACTTTGCGACATCTTCTTCAGAGCTATGCTTTAAAGAGCTTGCTCTGGCATCCAGTCCAGAGGACAGGCCAGAGGGAGAGACAGGACTCACTGCGGCCAGGGAGATGGCTGCCGCGTATTCATTTGCTCCGTCATTTGGCAGATGTTTGTGGTCAGTCTGCTACGTGTAAAGTACTGGAGATGAGGCTTGGTACTCCACTAGACGTCGGTCTCCACTAAACTACAACCTCTGTGTCACAGCCCGAGAGAGACCTTGAAGTAGGAAGGGCCTTCAGAAGACCCAAAAGGGACAGACAGGCTGGAAAAGAGAGTTGAGCCCTTTGTGGATAGTGGGATGAAGGTCTGGCCCACCCACAGGGCTTCATCTGTCTGTTTCTTCTCCAGGGAGTACTGGACAGCAGCCATGGCAGGCAGCAGTGGGGACAGCATCACTCGCCGGAGCGTGGCATCGCAATTTTTCACACAAGAGGAGGGGCCGGGCATCGACGGCATGACCACCTCAGAGAGAGTGAGTATGGAGAGACGGGCTTGGAGCAGGGAGGGCCACAGCCCCCTCCAGGTGGCAGAGCCCAGGGAGTGCCAAGGGGGCTGGGCTGGCAAGGCTGGCACCGTCACCTGCCTCTCTCTTGCCTTCCAGGTGGTGGATCTCCTGAACCAGGCAGCGCTGATCACCAATGATTCAAAGATCACAGTGCTCAAACAGGTGAGGGAGGGGGCATGGGAGCCTGTGAAAAAGAAAACACTGGTAGTCACACTCGTGTCCCCCTTTAAGCACCTAGGATGAGCCTGCGGTGGTGCTCAGTGCTATACAGGCATGCTCTCCCT